CCAGGGTCCTGCCTGCCACAGCCCCCTGGCGCAGTGGCCATCCCTGAGCGGGCGCCTCCCGGTACCACACTTGCCCTCTCCGAGCCTCTGCCGCTTCGTCACCAGACCTCAGCCCTCCAGCCCCTCCCCTGGAGCATCTCAGAACCCACTCCGCTGGTGCTAAACACGAGGGGCTCATGTGGCTGCCAGTAACCAAGAGACCAGAGGCCGGGCCAAGACCAGCTCCAGGTTCCCACCCTCCTCCCCCCCCACCCTCGGGACCCGCCCTAGGGAGACCGATACTGCGCCTTCACTGTAGGACTCAGATTATAACGATGTGTAATGACTGTAGCAAGAGGCCCTTGCTTCTGGATGTAAATGGCCAAGGAAGCAAGTGCTCTGTTGTATAAATTAACCTAGTTTCAATGAGTCCAGTATCATTGCATCTCCTACTCTGGATTAGTGCCTTTTGGACAGTAGACTGTTCTGTAATTAAAATGTAGTATACTGCTTTTTTGTACAGTTTTGTTTTAATAAAACTTTTTTTTAATTTGTGTTTATTTTAGTATTGTACCTATTAGAGAATAAAATGTATAACTGAAGAAGGCTGCGGGTTTCATTTGGCAAGTGCCTGGCACTCCGTGCGCGCTGTTCTAAACACCAGTTCCCTTCTGCTTCCTGTTACCTTGTTAAGAACCAGCAGGCAGCGTGCGAGGTGGGAGGCGGGACGCTGAGGCAGGTGGGCAGGCGGGTGCTGTACTGAGCTCCTGCTTTGCCTCTGTTTCTCGGGATTGGGGAGGCTGGGAGTCACATGAAATAGGTCGCAGCACTAAGCACCGCTTGGCTAAGCCCATTTCCCTAGAGCAGGCGGAGCCCCCGGCCTGCCACGTGACAGGCCTCACGGAGACCCTAAGCCACCCCTGCTCCCAGGCTGCCACCAGGGGCTTTCCCCACTCCAGGCCACACCCTCAGCCCCTCTAGCGCTACGGAGCAGCTTCCTGAGACCAGCTTGCACAGCTAGACCCATCAAAGCTGGAGCTGTGCTCTGGTTTTGCTTGCATGGAACTGATGGGGCTGGAGGACGCATGCCCAGCTTCCCTCCCCGCCACGGGCCTTCCCTCCCCACCACGGGAGCCACGGGCCTTCCCTCCCCAGGGCCACGGGCCTTCCCTCCCCAGGGAAACCCCTGGGTTTGTTTTTTTTTTTACACAATGGGGGGTGGGAACTTTTTAAAGCTGCCCAAACCTGACGGCAGCAGTGGATGCTGGCAGCATAAATGAGATGGGGGCGGAAGAGATGTGTCCATCTGCTCCTGAGTCCCACAGCCTGAGGCCTTCAGCCGCGCAGTGCACGGGCCTGTCCCCTGGCTGCCCCTCCTCCTCAGCCCTGGCCCTGTGCGGTGCCACCTGCTCTCCAGGGTCCCCTGCCACCAAGCCCAGCAGGACGTGTTGCCTCCATTGAACGAATTAGCTGCTCACAGCTAGACCCAAGACAGGTGACTAAGTGAATACACTTGACATCCACAGAGCGCACTCTGGGGTCTAAGCAACTGGGGGGAAAAAAACCTCGGATGTAGACATCTCATTGAGTTGCAAGAAAGCAGCTGCTTAAAAGTAGGATTTATCCTCAGAGCTGCATCAGTTCCGCCAGATTCCTGCCTCTTCAGCGCCAGAGCGGCTCCCAGCTGTCACGCGTCCTCCGTCCTTGGTGGCGCCTATCTCAGAACAAGTCTGCACAAAACCAGGCTGGCTCAGGCGGCCAGGCTCCCCCCACCCTGCCCCACGGCCCCAGGTGGGCTCCTTCACCCCGGCCCGGGCCTGGGCGGAGCAGACTCCACCACACAGGAAAGGAGGCGCGGGCCTCCGGGCACGGGCGCAACAACACCAGCACCAGGCCCCACAGCCCCCGGCACTCCCAGGCCCGTGCCAGCCGCGGCCAGAATCCTCTTCCCTTCCCCCGTCCTGACCTACATGCGGGTGAAGCGGGTGAAGCCGCCCTCGGTGGGTGAGCGCCCTTCCCATGGGCAGGGGCTCTCCTGGGTTTGTGCCAGTTCCTGGCTTCTTCCAGGGCTCACCGAGCAGGGGCCGGGTGCCTTGAGCCCGTGGCCTGGGGCCGGGCCTGCCGTCAGTCTGCACCCAGTCTGTACCGGGAAAAGCCCCGGCCATCAAGGAGAACCAAGGCCGGGCGCGGGCAGCACAGCCCTGTGCGGGGCGGCGGCGGGAAAGGTGACAGCGGACCCCAGCCAGAGCCCGTCCGCTTTATTTGGAAGCTGTGGTCACTTGGTGAGAGGCACGTACGGTACAGAACGACAGTGGCTGAGCTCAGCACAGCATACAGACGATCCAAGTCTTTACAGTTCATGACAGTCTTTGGGTGTTTTTAAACGCCATTTGATAATCCTGGAACCAAAGCACTTGTCTGGGAAGTTCTCCTTCACACAGTCCGCTCCGAGCAGCTGTCCCGCGGCTCCCGACACCGGGCTCCGTGCGCGCCGCGGGACGCCTGGGATGGACGGGGAGACGGGGCCGGCCAGGCGGCCCGGTGCAGCCGCAGCGCCTCTCAGTCGCCTCTCAGTCCGCACCCAGCACCGGGCGAGCTGGTCCGGGGCAGGCCCACGGCAGTCACCGGCCCCTCAGCCCTCCTGCGCGCTCTGGTCGCGCCTGGGCGCCTGCAATCAATCGCCACTGCAGCCACCCTCTGCCCTCCCCGACCTCTGGGTGACCACTTTGGACGCGGTCACAGGTTAGTGTCCGTCTACGCGCACCGGAGAGCGGCAGGAACGACGCCGGGCCGAGGGCAAGGTGTCCCCGCGGAGGCCGGGCCGGCCGCGCGCCCCTGAGAACCAGGGTCAGCCCCCGGAACTAGCGGGACAAGCTCCCCACTCCCGCCATCCCCCCGACCCACAGCCACGCTGGGCCACGGGACGTGGGAGGGGGGCGGCGGGGGGGAACAGAGGGAGGCCGGCTGGGGCGCCCGCATCCCGCACCTCAGCCCCAGGCCACGGGACAGCTGCGCGGCCCACGCGTGTGCCCGGGCATCCTGGGCTCCGGAGCTCCGGGTGCGCAGGGCTAGGGGACCCCAGAGGCCAGGCATGGAGGGTGAGGGCTGGATACGGGAGAGGATGGTCCCCGAACCCGCCAGACGGAGAGGAGCCGGGCCAGGCGAGCCTGAGCGGAGCGGGCGGCCCCCGCGTGGCAGCCGGGTTACCGGCCGAGCGCCTCGGGCCTGCAGCACCCCCCCCCCCACACACACACAGCATGCGGCCTCGCCGCCCTCGGGGCCCGGGCCTCCTGCTGGAAAACCTCGGCGCTGGGCCGCCATGCCGCGATGCCCATCCGGAGCTTCGGTGCGTGGGGTGGGGAGGGGAGCGAGGCAGAAGCGAGCCCCGGCTCGGCGACACACGCTCCCAGTCGCCAAAACTCGGGGGAGATGAGAACCGAGCCCGGCCTCCCTGGCCACCCCGGGACCTCCCTGCGGCCCTGGGACGGGAGGCGCGGGGTCCCCCGGCCGAGGCCACACCTGCAGGGGCCGTGGGCACGGAGCCCCTGCCAGGAAGAGCACCGCGGCTACCAC